TTTGTCCCAGGATCCTAAGGTCCTAGGGTTTAGATTAGAGCAGCGATAGTCTAACACAATAACGGTTGAAAAGTTCTTGGAATTACCAAAGATAATCTAAGAGCGAAAAGAAATTGGAAATTTACCCATGTCCACGAAATATCACAAATGGACTGACAAACGAGATAGCAAGAAACGACGAGAGGAAGGTATTAGCGTCAGTAGTTTGTGGCACTAATACTTTTGATAGCTTCAGAGTGCAACATGTTTCTTTGTAACTGTTCTAATCGTAGCATTTTATATCAAAATAACAAATAATGTGTCATTAAGGATACAATATATAAATAATTATAAGTGCAATGTTAGACTGAACATAATATATATAATATATATAACCTTCGCATAAAATACAAAATTCTAAAGCGATTCATATTAAACCAGAATAAGCAGATCGTTCTGACCGTCTCGATCGTGTAGCCATATCTCAATTGTAAAACGGTTGATCGACTATTTGAAAGTCAAAAATTTAAATTGTTTCTATTCTTACTTGTGTCCGACTTACCGGACTACTCAGGATTGCCAGTCAATCGTTTACGTCGTAACTGGGTAGTTCCATCGTTTAATATCCGCTAAAATAGCTTTCATACGCATGTTCTCGCTCAACTTCAATTACGTCTTAGTTCGGTGTTATCGTCAATAAATATTTGCTACGTTTTTACGTTAATAATTACGTGAGTATTTGGATACTTGTCAATTATTGCAAACATACAGGATGTCTCTACAATTACGATACGACCGAGCGAGAAGTAATTTGTTTGTTCTTTGTTACAGGTAACGCAGCAAACATCGTTTCAGAAGATTCAATCGAATCGCTCGATGCTTCGTCGCTGCTTCACGAACTGATTCACGATGAACTTCATTTACGCGATATTCGTTTTATTCGTTTCCGTTCTTGTATACGTCTTCTATATAAATCGAAAGGTACGTCGTCTACCACCTGGTCCTTGGCAACTTCCGATCGTCGGCTATCTTCCATGGATCGATGCAGAAAAACCACACGAGACTCTGACGAATTTAGCCAGAGTTTATGGTCCTATATGTGGATTCCGCATGGGTTCCGTTTATACTGTTTTATTGTCGGATCCTCAATTAATAAAGCAGACCTTCTCGAAAGATATGTCCACCGGTAGAGCACCTTTGTACCTTACACACGGAATTATGAAGGGATATGGTAAGATTATCTGACAAAATCATGTGTATCACTCGGGAACTATACTCGTTAATTCTATAAATCGAAAAATAGGGAAAAGTAACGATATTATAAATACTATTTCGTAATTTCGAATGACTTTGTACAGGTTTAGTTTGCGCGGAGGGAGAACGGTGGAAGGATCAGAGAAAATTCGTTAGCAATTGCTTACGAAACTTTGGAATGATAAAGCACGAAGGACCAAAGCGAGAGAAAATGGAGAAACGAATATCCGATGCAGCAAATGAATGTGCAACGGTATGTCGTGTTATTAGTCACCGCTTCGTTGCTTCTTTCGATAACTAGTTGTTATACATATACACTAACCCTGATAGTAGAATTTCCGACTAAACACAACAGTACTACGACAACTTAAAATAGTAAAATATTTGCTTGGCGAGAAAGTAAATACCAAGAAGATCAGTTCCAAATGGATTACATGTTGAGAACAAAAATATTTGGCTTTCTGATATCTAATCCTGTTAATAGCATGAATTGAATTGAATACGTCGACGCAATATATCAATCGATGATACATCAATCACTTTTTATATAATTTTCTTCGTCTGCGTATGATAGGCACTGAAAAATCGCGGGGCAAATGGACCGATCGATCCATTAAATACGCTTCATCATTGTATGGGTAATCTTGTTAATAGCATCGTATTTGGAAAAACCTATAAGGAGGAAGACGAAGTTTGGAAATGGCTAAGACATTTGCAAGAAGAAGGAGTGAAAGAAATCGGTGTCGCTGGACCGCTCAACTTTTTACCTTTTCTCAGGTACATCAAATTTTAAACGACATTATTAAAATAAAAGAATGACAAATTTATGCGTAAAAATTGCTCTTCAGATTCTTACCACGATACGGCCGAACGATACAATCGATCGTCGATGGAAAGGAGAAAACGCATAAAGTATATCGGGAAATACTCGAAGAACACCGTGCACAGATCGCGCAAGCATCAGAAAATACGGATAGAGTCGAGAGCTTTCTGGCAGCATTCGACGAACAAATGAGGAAAGAAAACGGTACAAAATCCGAGTTTTTCACAGAACCCCAACTGTACCATTTATTAGCAGATCTTTTTGGTGCTGGAACTGATACTACTTTGACCACCTTTCGTTGGTTTCTCTTATTCATGGCTGCCCATCCTACGGAGCAGGTATGTTGCACTCTCCTACAGCTCCTCCTACGGTATGTGAGATTTTCTATAGGGAGATCGTAAGATAAAGCGTTAAGTAGAATCACCGATTGGTAAGCTCGTAGCAAAAACAACCTTTGTCCATATTTGTCTTTCCTCGGAAAAGCAAACTATTTATCCCATGACAAATTCACACAAAGGCAGTTGGATCGTTTATCACTTCTATTTACTATATTATTCATAGGAAAAGGTACGATCGGAGATGGATCTATGTTTGAAGGAAGGGGAGCAGCCGACTCTAGACGATAGAATCGCTATGCCTCGTCTCGAGGCTGCTATAGCCGAAGTGCAGAGGATAAGGACTGTTACACCACTCGGTATTCCTCATGGAACATCAGAGGTACCGTACCGTCCATAAATCAAATCCCAATTTCTCTATGGGAAATTTCGTCTGTTTAGGATATGCGGATAGGTGATTACGATGTACCACGCGGTACCATGATCGTGCCGATGCAGTGGGCTATTCACACCGATCCTGCTTACTGGCAAGATCCTCTCGAATTTCGACCCGACAGATTCCTATCCGATGATGGAAGTTTCTTCAAACCGGAATCGTTTCTCCCATTTCAAAGTGGTAATTATCTTCGACTTTTCTCCCGCTCCTTCTCTTCTCTCGTTCACCTTCTCTTCGTGATATTATAGATATGTACTTTCTGCTTCATCGTATTTATTCGAATAACAAATACCTGCTAGACGCGTTTCTTTCTTTTCTCCCCCTTTTATTTCATTCTATTCTCTTTTAATTTTCTTTTGTTTGATTTCATTTTGTTCAAAGGAAAACGCATTTGCGTGGGAGAGGAACTCGCTAGGATGATACTATTTCTGTTCGCCGGGAGGATACTGCGCGCATTCGTTATATCCGTACCACCGGACGAGATCGTCGATCTCGAAGGCGATTGTGGCATTACGTTAGTTCCGAAACCACATCGCTTGATGTTCGTTCCACGACATCATTAATTAACTATTATAATCGATAAAAGATGTAGATCTAATAGAACGGCTGTTGTAATCTGATCGATCATCGTTACAAGTTACAACTATCACAAGCGTGTTTTACGAAAATATATACTTTTCATAATTAACCTGGTCGAACGATCGATCGTTTAGAAAGTTTTCGTCCAGCGGATAAACGAACGACTCTTTCGTTTCTCCTTTTCTCAATCACGCCCCCCCGTTCCCCTCTTCCCCCCTTTGTTGCTGTTCGCTCCTTTTTTGTATCTGTCTTTTTTCTTAAATACCTGTTCTTTCGTCTTGGTCGAGCTATATCGCCTGTCATCCCGAAAGTTCAGCTTCCGCCCACATTCCCGTCCCTCCATCTCTGGCTCTCTTAATCTTTTCGTCAACAGGTATATTCGCGAATTCGGAAAACACAAAATCGATTCCCCGTAACACACAAAAGGTATCCCCTTCATCCTCTTCGTAATTACAGTCTTTTTCTACTTTTTTTCCTTTTTCTCCTTCTCTTTCTAGCGAAACGGTGTTTCAAGCGTAATACAAACCGAGAGAAATATGAAATAAATACGAAATAAATTGTGGGGAAGGAAAAGCAAAAAAGAGAAAGGATCATCGACTACTGGATCGAAATAAAACGGGGAATGTAATTTTCAGCTCACAAAAAGTCACGAACATAATCGTGACGGTCGTTTCGTTCGTGAACACGACTCGTCGAGCAACAACGTACGCACGATACGATACGAGGCAATGATTGATTTTCATGAAATACAAAATATCGATTTATTTCGTGTGAAGAGGAGACACACGTATTATCAATTATAATTACAAGCTTGGTCATATGGACATTAACATTGTTTAATGATCGTTACAAAAAAGAAAAATAGATAATAACATTAAGTAACACAGATTCGCGGTCGGCGGGTGAACACAATGCGGTGCTCCGCAATTCGAGCATGCAACATGTAAATTTCTTACTGGTGAATACAAACGAAGCATCGACGCGGTGATATGTACGTGGCGTTAAAGCTCACCGCGGCATAGGGAAAACGTAAGAGGAACGATGAAGAGGAAGAAAGATGACGGAATATAAAGAAACCAGGGGGAATCCGCGTCGATGATTCGTCGGCTTTCGCCGGACACGCAACAAAATATATCTTTGGAAATGATTTTACGATCGCGTTATCACAGGAATCTCGAGGGTCCCATGTCCTAAATTCGAAATTCACAGCCTTAATCTTTGCCCGCACCCAACGGATCGAGTTCGATGTCGGTCTTGAATTCTGAAACGCTACGTAACTACACTGTGTGTGGTGTCGCAAGAATCTCGTTCTAACTTTCACGAAAATCACTGTTCTAGGTCAACAGCCGCGTCCATCCGACGCGCAGCCCTACGATCTAATCCATTCGAATTTAGTCGCGTCGAAACTTTCGAACGATAAGGGAAAGAGAACTCGTTAGTCGAAGACGATCTCGCGCTCTCGTTCACCGCCTATTATCAAGATAATACCTAGATATGTACATGATACAGTAACTTACGAATATCTGTGCGCACACTCACAGCGTACTTCGTTACACGGTCTTTTGTTTTTTTCTTTTTCCTTTTTTTTCTTTTTTTTTTTTATTAACTGGAAATTCTTAATCTAGCATTTACCACTATCGCTATCATCGATATTGTCGTTATCAATTATTATTTTACCAATACTACCGCCTGTACTATCGTTGCCGTTACTACTTTTGTCTATTTCTATTACTACCGCTACCACTACCACTACTTATTTCTAATACCGTTACTAATAATTGATTCCTCTTATTATCATTACTATCTAAAAGTCTTTTGTCTCTTTTTACGTCCGAGACTGCGCCAACACAACGATCTCTAGAACGTGACGGATCATCGTTGACGGAATTGTTATCGAAATCGTTTTTGTATATATTGTGTGCAACGAATTTGAACATGTACACGCAAACTTCTCATATCATTCAACCGTATACACACGTTCTATACCGACATACATTTATCAAATAACGCTAATGACTAAATGCGAATAAATAAAGAGCGAAATGTTACCCTAAATATGTATAAATGTTGGCTAGTACACGCAAGGAAATTAAATAATAGAAATCGAGAGTGAAACGACATTTATGCGATAGGTAGATGGAGAGAAGAATAAAAGGAGGGATAATGGAACGCGTTCGAACGAACCTTTCGACGATGATGTGAAATCTTGTAGGGCTGATTAAGGATGGACGAATGTACGATGGATCGGATTGAATCGTATTAGATCGAATTGGATCAGGTTGGATCGTGTCGGGCCAAGTCGGTCCAGGTCGGATCGGTCTCGTTAGGAACGATTACCGTGCTCCGTTGATCGTTATGGAGCGTTCGAAAAAGCAGGAAACTCAGTGACTGCCGATATTACGCAGAATAGCGCCGGAGGGGATCACATCGTTGCTCGTATCTTCGATGAGATCCAAATTTCTTGGTACCAAACAAACGTCAAAGGGGTCAGGCGTGACGGTGACACCGGCGTTGCCGCGCAAACTCGGCAAGGACGAGCCCTGCGGCGATCGCAACTCGAACGTGTGCATCAACGAACTAAAGAACAAGAATAACTCCATGCGTGCCAACACATCGCCCAGGCACATACGTCTGCCGACACCGAAAGGCATAAAGTATTCCGGTTTCTGGACTTTACCTTCGGCCGAGAGAAACCGACTCGGTCGAAACTCCTCGGGCTCCTCCCAAAGTTCTGGATCCATATGCACGGCATGCAGCAACGGTACCACTTGGGATCCAGCTGGTATCGTGTAACCGTGCAACGTCACATCTCTGAAACATTTTTACACCTTTCAATCTTAACTATCTCACACGTTCCATCGAGATCGTGATTCATCCATTCATTCATCGCGGCGCCCCAATACTACGAAAATTGTATATCTATATCGGCGTCTCGTCTTTGTCCTTTTCTCTTTTGCTCGTCCACTCACCGCTTTACAAGATAGCAACGTTTTTCGAAAGCAAATAACCTAATTAGCGACTGGTTCGATTTTACTTTCGCTTTTATCGCGGTATATCGATAGATATTAACCCAATTGAAGAAACCCAATTATAGTAATGAGACGAAAGAGAGAATGATCCCGCTCGATGTAATTCGGTTAAAAAACAAGGTTGGAAATTCGACCGACGAATTCTCGTAAGTATCGTGTCAACAGTGGGATCTGTAGACGATATAATTACCTCGTCGTTGCGTGTGTTGTTCCCAAAGGGACTATACTCGACCGCCTAAGAACCTCGAGTATCGTCGCTTCGGTTATCGGAAGAAAAGGTAGATCCTCCAAAGCAGGCATCCTCGATTTTCCTACCACTTGGTCCAATTCTTCCTGTACGGCAGTCGCCGCATCCGGATGATGTAGCATCAAGATTATTGCCCATTCGAGCGTGGTCTTCACCGTTTCCATGCCAGCAGAGAACAGATCACCGAGTATTTGTTGCATCTGGCGATCTATGAATAGTACGAAAAGAAGAAAGAAATGAGTGGTGTAAAACGAAAGGCGATTCTTACGAGCGAACTGCGAATGTTTATGGAGTTCTCAATTAAATTTCGTACGAAACCAAAATTCATCGACATCGTTCGTTTAAACCGAGGGGACAAATTCGACGTACGTCGCTTCCTATCTTATATTAATCAAAGATAAACGAAAACAGCGCGCAAAACGATACGAAATATTTCAAGTACGGCGCTCGTTACCACATTTAATAAACAAATTTCCATTTCTTTATCCATGAAAATACGAATGAAAATAGAAAATTTCATAAATATTCGCTGTCTGTGTACGAGATATATCATCGGCGCACTCTCACCATGATTTTTCCCTTGAAAGAGCGTAGTCGCGCGACCTTCTCCCTTCGCTTTCTCGATCTCGAGCAGATAAGCGTCGACAAGGTCTCGTAAAGTGCTTTCGTCGAACGTTGCTCGATGCTGGTCGACCGCCTCTTGAAAGAAATCGGCCATTTCCGCGCGATTTTCCGCAATCTTGTTGCGAACTTTTTGAAGGCAAGGCAAGTAACGCATCACAGGAATAAAGTTGACAGCGGCCATACTGCCGAACAGCTTGAAACCTTCCTCGATCAAGTCCATGAATCTTTTGAACCTTTTGTCGCCATGTTGGAAACGCACTCCCATTATAATGGAACATATAACGTTGCTGATCGACATTCCAAGGGAAGCTGAAACGTCTGTCGGTGTTCCTCGTTTTATCACCAATCCACGAAGGAACGTCTTAACCTCGCGCTAAAACCAATTAGAAATTATTCGTCTCTTTTTCATCTACTTGATATCAAGTGCAACGAAGCAAGTATTATGCGAATATACAGTAAAACCTTGATTATTCGAATACAATGGGGAAGCACGCTGCTCGGATAATCGAATATATTGGTTTTTTCACGAGAACGTCGTTTATTTCGAGCTATGTTTAAATATTAATATTAGTCAGAAATAGAGATTTGCGAGCAAAGATGTACTATCAGTTTCAGTTGCTATTTATATTTCTTAATGTTTCTTACATGAGAGACTATTCTTAAACTTCTCACTAGTCGATCGTTTGGTTAATTTTACTCAGGTTCTACTGTAATACGTGGAAGAAAGAAAAACTATAGAAAAAGGAAAGACGAAATTTTGTAAAATGCAGCGCTCACCATGATTCTCGATTCCATAATTTTCTTCCCACCGCCCATATAGGTCATGCCGAAGCCTCTGAGCTTATCGTGAAGAAATTTTCTTTGGTCTTTCCACATAGCACCTTCGGTGTTGATAATACCTACGAGAGAAAAACTCTTGAGCTTCAAAAGTCAAGGGAACCGACCAGTTCGTAGAACGAAACCGCTTCGAACGAAAAACAGGAGATTCAACGTGTTTTAATTCGTACGCAGCGTAACAATATAATAAATTATCTGTAAACTATACAAGCTTTCCTGCCGGTGATCACGGAATCGAAAGAATCGGTGACGCGAAGAAATAATCTACGAGCAAGACGAACGAAATATTTCGAATAACGAAAAAAAAAAAGGAGGTAGAAGTCAGTTGGCTAAAAGTGGAAAACAGGAAAAAAGAAAGAAAGATTCGGCGATAAAATCGGACGCACGCATGCAGCGGCGAGATGGTTGATAAAAATGTGAAAAGGGAAAGAAGGAAAGAGATAAGAGTCTGACGGGAAAGCGCAGAGTGAAAAATATGCGAGAACACGAAATCGAGATAGAGTTAGTTATCGGAAAACGAGCATGACAGGCGTCACGTGTTATACACTTACCATATCCACCGAGGATGTTGATGAACTCGGTATGCGGTCTGCCAGTAAACTCTTCCCGACGAAACGTGTCGCGAATCGTACGATGATCGCTAATAACAACCACCAGTTGCGTTCCTAGTCGAGCACTGAACATTGGACCATACTTCTTTGCGAGTTCTCCGTACCGGAGGTGAACGTCGCCTTTCAAGAATGGCAAATAACCAAACACGGGTACACCCCAAGGCCCTGGAGGCAGAGAGCGCACATACCTAAGCCATTGCATGCACCTTACTACCAATAATACACCTAAGAACACGAGAAACGTGTAAAGGACCTCGATTCTCGTGCCACCCATTGCTTGCCAAGCCCATTGTGTCGCGTGTTCCACTAACATCGCGCTATATTCAATTACGCTTTTATAATAATACGTTTTGCGTTCGTTTCTGCAAATATTTCGGGAACGAAGTTTCCCTTCGTTTTTTCCAATTCGAAACAGGGAGCTTCTTTCTCTCAAACCCTTAATCCCGATACACTTTTACTCGTTTCTTCCTTCCTCTCTGTATATTTTCTCTTCTTATCGTTCTAACTTTCCCTCGGCTTCGTAAATTGAATTTCTACCCTTCCCTCGTTTACTTTCTCTTTTCGTTATCACCTCGACCTTTTCGGCGTCTAATATTATACACAACCTTCGCTGTTACTTCCTATTCTTTCTCTTTCTGCTTCTTTTTCTTTTCTTCCCTCTCTCCTTTCTCCGCGTAGCACCTTCTTCCGTCGCCTCTTTCTTCCTTTCAACCCTGTCTCCGCTTTTCTCGTCTCCTTTCGCTTTCTACGCCCCTTTCTTCCTTTCCTTCCCTCTTTCTCGCTTTCTTTCTGTCAGAACTTCTTCGATCCCTTCTCGTCACGACACGTTCGCACGTCTCGACGAAAAACCACCGGTCAACCTTCCCTCTGGCTGGTTTCGTATCGGCACGAACACAATTTTCCTACTCGAAACGATGCTTCCGAAATTCGCGGCTTTAAGTATCAAATCTGACTAGGCTGGTGGGGCATAATCTGGAGGGGAATATAGGGGAATAGGAGAGGAGAGGGGGGAAGGAGAGTGCGCGCGCGCACGCTTCTGTGTAATGCGTATGCGTTTATGCGTGTGCGCGTGCGCACGTGTACGAGAGAGGATAATTGGAGCGATTTATAAAAAAAAAAAAAAAAAAAAAAATGAAGCAAAACAAAAACGATGGAAGAAAAATCGTCGATACCGATTTAGTAACGATTACGCAACGATCGAGAAGGCTCGCCGAAAAATCAGATAAAGTGAAATATCGCGAGACGCGGTGTCCGCTGCAACGGATAGAGAAAGAAACCGCGAATCGTATCAACTAGCAGAGACAATGAGTAGGAAAAACGTGCACGCACAGGTGATAAACGCGCTCGCTTGTTCTTACGCACTAGGGGAAGAAACGTGGTGGGAGAGTCAATGGAAGTATGGGAGAAACGAGTGACAGACAGACAGAGAGAGAGAGAGAGAGAGTGAGAGAGAGCGAGTAAGAGAGCGAGAGGAGGAGCTGAGCAATTATTTAATGGAATAGTGGAAGGTAAAAGAAGAAAAACGCATCGGAGTGGAATAAGAGTGAAGAAAGAAAAGAATAAAGGAAATAAGAGTGAGAAAAGAAAAAGAATAAAGGGAAAGAAAAAAAAAGTCGGTCACAGCCGCAGCCGAATTCACCGGCGCTCGCTACTTCGTGAATCGTGCGAGCCACGGGAAGATTGAGTGTACACTAACATACACCTTCTTGTCCTTGCCCGCTTATATAGTGACTCATCGAGTACCGGCCCCCCAGCGGCTTTAAATGGCCCCCCGGATGCCTCCCAATTGCCCCCGGCAGTCCCTGAATATGGTGGGGCAACGGTACAAAGAGGAGCAGAGACGGACGTAAAGGAGCGGAAGGAGTCAGGTAAGACGGTGGTCCGTTGAACGAGTTACGGTGACACGAAACTCGGTGGGGGTACGACACGAGCTTTGCCTTCAGGGTAGTGGACCAACTTCCGTCGAGGGTGCAAGGGCGGACTCCTTGTACCACAGTCTCGTTGGTCGAAGACCACGAGGTCTCTTCTACCGCCACCATAGAGTGGGGGCATTCGGGCCCCCTGCAGGGATTCGAAACCGTCAACCTATGGTGGGGATCGCTATCACCAAACCCAACGGTGCCTCTCCGTTTTACACGCAAAGGATCCGCTTCGGGTCAGCTATTCTTTCGATCTTTGCTTTGTCGTCCCTTCTCCTCCTCCTCCTCCTCCTCCTTTTCCTCCTCCTCCTCTTCTTTTTCCTCCTTCTCATTCTCCTCCTCCTTTTCTCCTTCTTCGACATGCGTTTTACACATACAATGGAAAAGGGATAAACAAGAGAAAATTAGAACAGTGTCGCATAATAGATACGCGAACAAGGCGAAATACGCTTTGCGCTCTAACGCTCGAAGACGTCTCCTTCTCTCTTGATTTTCCTATTTTTTTGTTGAAAGTCTAGTTTATTCGATCGTAAATCGAATCGTAACCGATTCCACCGAGCCGCGAATTATTTCTCCGTTCAAAGGATAGAGCGCATTTTTCCTTTTCAGCAGATACAAGGTCGTAATCGCGAACATGAAAGCACGTTACGAGAAACGAGCGTGAAACAAGCGATAAGACGAACGATCGTTTAAGCAGCAAGATTGTTTCTTCAGCGTTTAAACGAATCTCATTTTTCACACAGCTACGTATACTGACACAGACCTGGCCACCGCTGAACAGTCTCGCGGTTCTTCGGCGGTTGGGTCATTGACCCAGTTCGTATTCTTTCTCGATAGCCATGTCCGGTTTTCACCAGGGACGATACCAGAAATATCCCTTTTGCCATCGAACACATACGAGTTCTCTGTAGTAATGTTCGTTCGAAACCGGGAAGAACGCACGCTCGTTTTACTGCAACATGAACAACACGTACTCCACCAAGTGTTGTCACTCTACGTCTCGGCTTCACGTTTGCTCGATTCGACCGAAAATAATCGATTTATCGCTGTTAATCGTAAAGTTCAAGGCCTCGATTTCATTGGAAACAGCAACGATAGCTTATTTTCCCATACTTTTGCCTTTCTTCGCAACAAGATGTAACTTGACGTAACATCCTCGATGTAAAAACGATAACGGGAGAAACGTAAGAAAAAATGGATCAAATCGTCTTGGCTCGTCGAATCGATCTTTGTCACTTATCTATTATCTACGCTATGTGTGTCACGAGTTACAGCTTTGATCGTTTCGATACCACCCTGTGATATTTTCATTGTTCGAATTTCGTCTTCTTTACGGCAACATCTTCTCTACGATAGTAATGCATGCGCAATATAGTAACACGATTAGCAACAGGTTTCACGACTTTTCTTCGCTTTCTGCCAAGTATGTCCAAGAAGAAGCATAAGTCGTGTAAATTGGTTGCGAAAACCGATGCGATGTCACTCGACGATCCGATTACGAGTGCGCTCGTTCGTTTCACTCTGTAAAATTCGAATCATCGAAACGAGATGATAAACGTTGTTCGAGTATAATTAGCGTAGGATTTTCTTTGGAACAATTTCGAATGGAAGGGAATAAGAACGGAGATAAAAAGAGGCGAGTATGAATTTCGATTGATAACAATTAGCAGGAGAAGACACGCGCGATGCGACAACAGCGATAGAAGCAGAAGAGTTCAATTATTATCGGACGCGTACATCGAACCCCCATCGCGAGACGAAAGGAAAATGATTCACCGATTAATACAGCAGGCCAATAACAGATACCGATTCGCCGAAACCAAAAAGAATTACGATCGACTTAGCCGGAATATTGATACGTCCAAGTGCTACGCGTGTCTCGAGATAAATATTCGACCTTCAGAAGCTTTAAACATGCATCGTATGTTTGTATGACTATTCGTTTCTTCCTGCACGTACATCTATACGATAATTTTACGTATCTCTTGGAAAGTCGTCTTTCTCGTTCTTTCTGCTCGTCCAAGATCCGTCGGACGAACCTATCGACGACGTAAGACGTATCGTTTCGTAACTTTGTTCCGATTTTTAGTCGCGTGATTCTCTCGATCGAACGATCACGCCGACGTACGACAAATTTGACTTTGGATCTTTGAGACAATTCGAACTTCACAGAGTTTACATTTGGAGAGGTGGGAAGAAACGATACGACTCTGTTTTCTCTCGGTATCGGTAGAAAACGGAAGAACATGGTCGTATAAAGGAAAAGAGAGGAAGAAGATGATGTGCCGCTATATCGTACTGATAGTTTGACCGAGTTATAGTTTAACCAGAGTATAATCTCATCTCACACGTCATCTGCCACCGTTATCAGCTACCGATGCTTCGTCAGTTCTGGTTCAACTTTCTTGTCCCCTTTCTCTTATCGATTGCTTCTCGCTCGATAAACATCGTAATTCCTAATTCGACGTGTCCGATCTCGTCACACTGTAGCACCTAGCTATCGGTGAATTAAACTGTAGACTTTTCGATAGGAGAAGGAGACAGGTGAAAAGGGGAGAACTAGTACGCTACCATATACCGAAGTCCTCGTACTACTATATGTATAACTGTTACGGATCGTGAGCATGCGTGCACGTAAACGTGATCGATTCTTCGAATGTGTGCATACGCGAGAAACAACTTGCTCGCGTAATCAAGTTTGCGATTTCTGATTGTTTACATGCGAGGGCATTGCCCGGATGCCGTTTACCTTACGTACATTCCAGGTGTTACCACTCCCTCCTTCGTCACCTCGCGATTCCAACCTCCTACCGCCTTCCAAGGAACCTACAACGCGTACACGAACCGCACACGATCCATTCGCACTCACGCAGTCGTTCCCGCTTGCAGGTACTAGCGATCGAGCCGATACTCGACTAGGAGATGCATGAATATTCTGAGAAAAATTCGAATTATAGCAGCGGAACGAGCCCACCGTCGGTCGAGTAGAACAGCCATTTCGCACGCTGACCCATCTAATCCCCGCTACCACTTTTCTTCGACTATCGCGTGCGTTTCGACGTTCCAATTCGATTCCTCTTTCGTCGTGTCCACGATTTCTCCTCGCCTTCTGTTCAAACAGAACGAAACCGAGCTGCTCATTACCGACCAGAGAAATTGCAACGGTAGATATCACGCGAGAGATAACTCTTTCGAAGATAAGAGAAAACTTTCGGGATTCGACGAAATTCACGAGTTATTAACTCGTAACTGACCAAAGATTAACCATGTAGAAATTAATGAGAGCGATTAACGTTACGAATAAGCGTGTGGATACACTTAAGCGATAGGCGAGAACAGATAATACGAGTTACAAACATTCCATTTTCTACGCAACGATTAACCGATCGAGTCGATTATTTTTGCCAAAGTTTCGCGTGAAAACAAATTTTATCGCTCGTCGATTTACGGACAAGAGCGGAGAAATGCAACGTTGTATAGATGTACGAATATAACGCATGTATAAATACAGATACAGAATGAAAAGGGAGAACGAGACGGGAAACGGGTCGTGTCAGGTAATTTTTAGCGATACCTACGCCCGCACAATCCACCTTCGAACGGGTTTCCTTTCTAACGGCTAATAACGGGCCCCGGACTCCGGTTGGGTACGAGAACGCGGTTTTTGACCGTCCGTTATTCCTTCTTCGAACCGTCTCCCGAATCTTCTGTGGAAGCCCCCCGTGGGACCTTCGGTCGATCCGTTAGAAACCATAGTGGAGTCTCGCCACGCGGCCGTATTTTAATTCTTGGCGGTCGAATGTCACTGCTACGGCTGCTTCCTCGCCCCCTTTTCGACTCTTCCACCGACCCCTCCAATTCCTTTACGTCCACGTATTGTCCGATGAACATCGTCGTGTAACCCTGTTTACGCTTTTACCCTTTTAATCGTTTACTTTAATCTGGTCGATTTTCTCAGTCGAATAAATTTCATAGCAATCTCGTAAACACCGTTTTCTTTTGACACGGCAACGACCATTTACCCTAGGAAACTTTCTATTTTTTTAATCGGTCGGATACAGATTCGATCGTCACTGCGCACAGCTCGTGTCTTGACTAATTGCGATTCGCAAAAAAGGACGTCGTACATATTGCGAGCACGTGTAATATACGTGCGAGTACGTAACACTCGGGATAATGCCGGGTGAAGGACCGAACCGTGCATCGGATGGATGAACTGGTTGTCCGGTTGGTCGTGTGCTCGGTTGCTCGATTGCTCGATTGCTCGCTTGCTCGCTTGCTCGCCCGTTACCATCACTGACCACTGCCAATGGGTCGATAACCTGAGACCTCTTTCGCAGCCGAAATTTTCGAAGCTCGTTCTAGCATGTCGAATCGAACACGAAACACGGAACACGAGACGTGGAACACAGAATATGGAACATGGAACACGCAGACCACGTAACAACATCTTTTCCTCCTTGCCTTTCGTCTTCTCTGTCACCTTCCAGCTGCGGGGCTGCGGCAGTTCACCGCGTGCCCAATTTACAGCCGAATTGGCGCGCATTCCGTATCAACCTCGATTCCTTTCCGTCTTTCTTTTCCGTTCTTTTCTTTCCTTCCTTTTTAGAGTGAAACGTCGCGCCGAAAGAAACGCCGACGATAACATTCGAAGACACGATCGCTCGAGTGGCATCGTCGCCGCGCTAATTCTCTTTTCTTTTTTCATCGGTCTGCATACACCGAACGATTCTACTTTCCAACGTAATAGATCCCCTTGCGTTACGTAAGAAGCGCGAAACCGGTGGATATGTGGCTCGCACAAACGATGTCGTAGCACGATGGCTATACTCGGTCACGAAAACGACAGGGAACGAGCGCCGCGAAGTTATGCGGATCTTCCTTTGATCGCTGACTGTGTACGGATTTCTCGGTTCGCATTTGCCCGCATTACACGCATTCCTTCGCACATCGTCGTTTCAACGCCCTCCACCGATGCCCGCCACCGAATGGGCCAATGTAATTGCAAAATCCCGATCGTCGAAACCTTGTTGCAAAATTTGTCAAAATATTCCCTGCCGTGAATTTCGTAACGCGGCCAAGAAACTGGGTAACGAAATCGAATCGTCTCTTCTTTCCACATGCTTTTTGTCCTCGACTCGAGATTCGAGAGTTTCGAACGCCGGCTATCGCGGATTTAAGAACCTCCTGTCCTTCTATGTCTACGATTAAAATGATAGCACAACGACGAAACCGTACGAGGCGAATGACGCTAACACCTTCGAGTTGGAGCTCGAAGGAGAACCTCGAGGTGAACGACCGCGGTAAAGTGGCATAAGTGCCGTACACAAACCATGTTCCAACTTATACCGATCCGTTTGGTCCTTCCTTCTCGAGTCACTCCAACTTATAATCATCGTCTGGTCGACAATTTTACGTCCCATGGTAGCAGGATGGCGACGACGAACAATGAATATCGTCAAACAACAGCGAAGAATACTCGACGTATTCTATGATACCGCGTTAACCTATATTTAGGACAACTGCATCATATTCCAACGAAGCTGTTTTCTACGTCCACATTCTCATAGTCGACATAGTCGACATTCTAAGAGCGATCTTAGATTTTTTGACTCTATTACCAGAATGTGTATATGGTTTTGCAAACGGAATTGCCAGATCGTCTAGCTTTGTCCTCTGGCTCCATCGACGATTGCGGGCAATCTGCTCTCACCGTGAAAATAACAAATTTTTCGTACACTTCTTTGTGTAATATTGTACCGAGATTCGTTGATACTAGGAAATAAACGGAAAACGTAATAAACACTACAAACTTGCTAAAAAATTGCGGGGTTGAAAAAACACGAACGAAAAGAAGATTTGGGTCAAAGATTATCCTGCCACCATCGAAGTAAACAATCAACGAAAATCATAGTTTCGTTAAACGATCGAATCGCGCTTATTTTTCTACCTGTCAGGTTTTTTCTTTGCTTTGACAATTTTGTCGGTCATCGTCGCGTGACAAAACGGAAAGGATAAAAAAGAAAATGTAAGGTAAACGAGATAAACAAGAGGACAAGCAAAGAAAAAGGAAATAGTTTTGTTGGTATCTTGTACAAGTACACAGCAATTAAATCGACAAGCGGTCAATGCTCGACTGACCTCAACAACAGTAAAAGTGACAAACGGCTCGACTTCTCGTCCAAGTCGGCCGCGGAACTTGATTTCTCGATTCTTGCCCCACAGCCTATCAAAATGATCTACTCCAAGCTCAATTAGCCTTCGAACGATCTGCATATTTCTTAATTCGATATTCATTTTTCCCTTTATCAAGTAAAGGGAATTCATTCAGCTATTTCGATCGCTTCCTTCTCTCAACTCTGACCAAAATCCCGTAGATTCGGGAACCGGTGCTCGAAGTCGGTGTACGAAACTGTGAAAAGTCTTAGCTCGTTGTACACACGCTCGATACACAGCAAGACTACGAAGAATTGTAAATGTGATCGCAGGCTGATTGGTAGGGATTGGCGCGAAACGAGATCGAAATATCAACGCATGCCTCTTAAGGGGCCTCTACACGTTGAAACATGTTGCGATGCATGCATCGACACCTAGGTTGCATGATACATGTTACAATGTATGTACATCTGTATCGGCGAATCGCTATCAAAATCAACTTGTATCGATCCGGTAATAAGGATACCGAATATAAATCTTGTAGGAATCAATTTCCTTTCGAAACGAAATCTCTCGACAGGGTTCCTAATTTATTTCCAGCGAAGCCATACGCAAATATTTTCTATAATCACGGTGTACGTTCGTTCTTAGTTCTTTTAATAACGCGAAATTAGAAAAACCGTTCCTCTCGATTAGCCGTGTTTTCGCTCGTTTCTTTGCTATTCTTTGATCTTTCGTTCTATATAAGCAACATACCTCCTGTTAATGATAATAATGCCGGAGTTGGAAGATCAGACATTTTGAAACACGTGTTTCAACATCGTTATCACACCATAAACCGTGTAGAATCGGCAATGTGCAGTTAAACTGAAACCGATGCAAATTTCATGGAACCTAAGTGTCGATACATGCGTCGCAACATGTTTCAACGTGTAGAGCGGGCTTTAAACAGGAAACCTCTGGTTGGTATCTCTCGAGGAAACGTTCGTGTTCTCCGAGTCAGGGGCGTATCACGCGTCGGTATTACAAAAAGATCATTTTTCCAATGATTAGAATGGTCGTTAAAGCGAATTCCGATTTATCCGCGTGTACGTCGCAGCGAAAGACGACGAAAGACGAATCCTCTATTCACGCACGTACGAACGATCGTACTTTCTATCGTACTTACCAACGACTCTCTAATTACGCGATGAATCTATACACAATGAGTATTTACAATGAACGTGCAATTACGATTACCGGCTATGATGTATGATTTTTTTCTTTCTTTCTTTTTTCCTTTCTTTTTTTTCACAGGACATAGACACGACCGCGCACGTATACGTACATAATCCTTTCATCCTAAATACGGTAGTACATGCTATAGTTAATCGATGTCGAAGTTCTATCGATCCGTTCCTGTGACCAGTCGTTTACTACGATCAATCGGTATGCGACGTGCTGCACACTCGCTCTTACCTTTCGGATCGCATGATCCAAACCTTCGAAAGGACGTTGACCGGTGTTGTACCAAGAGTGTAGCAAGTGTATCAAATGCTTATGCAGCTGGGCATAAGAGTATGTCGCGTGCATCGTGTGTACACCAGCGAGCCGAGTTACGACTCGCAGGGGGAAAGAAACTCTCTAACAAAAGAGAAAGAGACAAAGAGAGAGAAAGTAGAGTTTCCTCTTGTACATATTTGCAACGGGCACGCGTATATCTTTTTATAGGTTGTGACAAAGACCGAAACGAAATAGGGAATAGAAAAGTGCAAGCGAACCGAAATCCGAAACAGATAGGAAACGAAGAAATATGGTGTCTGCCTGCGCTGTCCAACACCCGCACCAAAAGACGCAATCGATGCGTCGTCGCCGTCTCACTGCGCTCCTCGTCAGCTAAATACGAGAGTCCCGGTCATGTCGTTTAGTTAGATCCTTAAACGTTTCGAATTAACAAGCTGAAAACCAACGCTGCGTGGGTATCCTGCGTGTCTTGCGTAAAAGAACGTTTTTTTCGACCGGTAACCGGTAAAGGCGAAATAAATTCGTTAGGAAATTCGCCGTACCTGCGAAATTCTGTACGAATGATTTATTGAGTATTGTTAATCGAAGAGGTATCGTGAGATTACAAAATCGGCCATTTACTTTTCAAAAAGTTAAAAAAATGATTTAAGGCTGATAGGGAGAGATGGATAAAGGGATGGAAACTTTGTTCAAGATCGTACCGTCCGTATGAAAAATTGTTTCTTCCCTTATGATATATTTAGAAAAAAGTACGTATTCTTAGCTGTCCTGCGAACGTTCGAAGTTTCATGTAAATCGAAGTCGAATCGTTCGCGATCTTCTCTTGTTAGTTCCACTAAAAAATCGAGAAATATCAAAAACACTGCGTGATCCTGATTCCATGGCAAAGGACTGTATGTACATATGTGCGTGATACACGCTTAACTATCCAATCGACTAGAGATCGAACTTTGTGTTTTCCTTTCTTTCTGAAAATCTCGAAAGATTTGACATTCCTTTAGAGCAAGACGATCGCCCGATTAATCGGAATCGAATTCCTTGCGAGAGAAATACCACGTCTGACGACCCTGGGCGGCCAATCGTAATTACGTCATCGTAGCGACAGATATAGAATCACTGTCACTTTCAGTAAATACATATAAACGCAGGTCATAGTCCCTCATCATTTCTTTCTCATGTTTCTCTGTATGCTCCCCTATCCTTAATTTTTCTCCTTCCTCCTCTACCCTGTTCCTTCCTCGCACGAACTACTCGATATCTTCCCCAATTTTTCCTTTATCTTGCGATAATACAACTTTCTTGGCACTCTTAGAAATTTATCTTCTCGCATCGTCACGAGCAAATATTTCATTTAAATATACATAACAGTTTGAGAAGATTGTGGATTCTAAAAATAAACTCCTCTCACTGTTACGGGGTTGTGTAGAAAGCTGTAGAAAATATCTAATTTGCTCCGAGTCATCGTCAGAGCCCTTCAAATAGGATAAAAGTAGAAATGTTTTTCCGAGCGAGAAGACGAAAGGTAAAATGTCAAATTTACGTAACGCGTTATAAAGGGTGTATGTCGTGTCGATCTTCTTGCAATTTTTCCATCGCGTTAATGGACAGGAGACCATTGTGCTTATGACCAACCGCTACGTAATCCTCTAGTTCCTCGCGTCTTCTTCCCATCGTCTCGACTTCGATAAAATCCGCATGAATGCCAAGCATTGATAAATTCGAAACAAATCGTTGCACGAAGTTGAAAAAAAATAATTTCCTCGTGTAAACTTCACATGAGTAGCGCAGTTGATTTACCTGTTGCGTCGTGGTTTACGCGCTCCTTTGCCATTCCTACCATTCGCATTCCGTGTCGCGTGGAAAGGAAGAGAACTCTCGAGGGATCGTTTCAAGGGTTTACCAAGTACAGTGTCAAATAAAAATATTCGATTAAAAAGAAGGGGACCGCTATAATCGTATGTATCTGGGTATTTGGGTAGTCTCCGTTTGGTAACCTTGGTTATAACCTCGTTTCGAGAGTATGGCATACGGTGTCGACCGTTGAACCACGAACCACGAATCACGAATAGCATTCGCCCGAAGTTCGGGGTTCGATGTTCCAGCTTGTTCTATCGTCTGCTTTGATCGTCGTCCACGATCGAAAACTCGCCAATCTTGCGCCTGTACTTTTCTGATCGTTGCTTCTGCGACGATTAACGGATTGGAACTTACGCGTACACAATCTTATTCGTACTTTCGAAATCCATTGCTTCGCTCTTACGTAATATTCCTTCGATCTAATGTCGATTCAATCTCTCTTTCGTTAAAAAGGTAAAAGTACCTTAACGAAATACGAAGAAGCGCGAAGCTTGGAATTTTAATGCACACGTGTCGATGGGACTTCTGAAAGTACTTTTTACAGCTGATGTTTCGTTAAGCAATCGAAAAGAGAGAAATAAAGTAGAAAAACGAGAAACATGTGAAGATGAAAGAAAATTGACGTGTACCCATTAAAATAGAAAGAGCCGAACGATTCCGCGGTAGAAATTACACAGTTTGATTAAATCATGGCTTAAGTGCGTTCGTAAAATAGAAACATTCGCGGTTTCGATTTTTTAGTGATAATTTATCAGGCTATTATTACCATTAACGAGTATATTACGGCTACACCATTTGACAGACATGCTCGTTTAATCGTCGGCTAACCTCGTTATAATTATCGTTCATCTCGATGTAAAGGTAGTGTGTCATAAAGCTCTAGCAAGGCGACAGTTAATTTACCGTTTCATTAACAGTGTGTTTTCTAGTTGACATGAAACGCGTGAACGGGCACCGTTAGATACACCGTAACTAGCTCGCTATTCGATGGTCTTTCATTAACGATCGAAAAGGCTAATGTCGAATCAGTGTAAACCAAGTGGCTGCTGCGCCGGGTGCGACATCGAACAATCTGCCTGTCCACCGAGATCTCCACGACAGATTATTCTGGCGCCTCCTATTCCTCGACGAACCCAATGGAAACCTTGTTGCATACGTAAATATCATTATCCCTGTCCAGCTCACGCAAGACCTTATCGACTTATACGTTTCACCGATTTCGACTTGCTGTCCCAACATTAAACCAAACGTCATCACGCGGACCCCCAAATGATTAAAATCTGTTCAACCTACGAATACTCGTGCGCTATCATTTCTAAGTTTCCAGAGATTTTGGTTGACGTATAACGACCGTATGCGAATTTCACAAAAATGTACAAATTAATGGCGAATTGATAATTAGAAGCAGCACTTATTACCTTTACATTTTCTATCTGTAATACGAACGCAGGCTGATGCGCACAAAACTTGGACTCGTGCTAAATGAAAGGAAAGAAAAAAGTAGAGGAAGGAAAGAAAAACAAGGAGCATTTTAGTGCGTAAACCGTAACACTATCTTTGCATAAATGGCAAGACAAGCTGCGAACGTTATCTTGAAAATCACATAAAAAGCTCAAGTTTAGTCGACATACGAAACGTCCTTTCCTCTTTCGTGGCAAACTGATAGACGCAAAAGTATGCGACGCTACGCAGTCAGACGCACCGACCGATAAAATAACAAGTTTGTTACGCGTTTGCGTTTATTCGCCGCGATATCAAATCGGTAGCATATCCGTTAACCCTTAAAAGTTGCCATCAAAAGAAATCACGTTTATATTATTATGGATAAAATCTCACGGTACTTTTTTCGATTTCTTTTTATCTCAATGCGATTAAATAGTTCATACTGTTACGCGGTATTAAATTAAAGATAGAAAAACCATCTTTTACGATGCTTATGCGAATAACATCGCAGTGGTGTTGTCATGGGACAATGATACTAAAACAAAATTCGCACGAGGCAAAATTTCCCTTACGAATTGAGCGAGTGAAATGCAATTTGTCAAAATTTAACAAAACGAGCCATATCTATTCCTTATCGTGGATTTTCATTCGCCGACATATTTTCCTATGACTAACCGATTAATCGATGGAAGAACAGCTCTTCTTTACGCGACACCACATTCTGATCGTTTCGAAACGAACCTGTACATCTATTCGAGGCAGATTTCCGAGAAGGATAGATAGTGCCTGATGGACAATGGGAGAAGAAAGGCAAGACGTTACTCTCGACGATCAACCTCGACAAACCACTTTCCCTTTCCCCGACCGTATTTTCGAATCGTTGCTTACTATATAAGTACGGAAGCTTCCACAGTAGTAATTTATCATCTTTTCCATTTCGCAGTGTGAGACAACAAACAATGGAAGTAATTCGGCAAGAAAGTAGGTGCAGGTAGACCGAGCATGAGCAGAGACGATTGCAGCTGTCAGATCAGCATTGATTCATCGATTCGTTTAACTCGCTAACGCCGTGCTCTGTCGCCTACATTTTTCATCTATAGTGGCTTATGAAAGTGTTTGAACGATTATAGAAACTTCTTCTGAATATAGTATACATATTATACAAAAGATTTTATATGAGAATGCACTATACATAATTTACTATTTCTATTTCACTGTATTTATTAACATCCGCAGTCATTTTATCAGTTTAGAAGACTCTTTCTAAAGTTTAACTTGTAGTTCAAATATTAAGGGATCCAGAGATAAAGAGTCAAATAACGAAATCGTTCTACAAATATTTGACAGTTACAAACATCGGTTTTGTTATTGTCTTTTGGAAGTCAATTTAATCAATTCACAGTACATTATTTTAAGTATCTGTGATGACTACAAAAGATTAAAAATATAGCAGTTCGATTTATCCGTAATTTTATAATTAAAATACATCGTGCTAAAAATATACTGATCTTCGGATACTTTCGAACAGCAATGTAACGTTGCAGTGGTTATTTTCTTGTTTCGTTACGTTCGGCTCGATGTTCGCCCTTTTTTCAATTGCGAACATTCAAAAGTTCTACCAAAAATCTAACTATATGGCTGCTTTGCATCTAGAGAGCTCGCTTTCACGCCCGCCGGCTTTTTTCGTCATTAACGCGACAAATTCAACGGTCGTAATTCGTAACTACGGACTGAGAAACCACGTATTTCGGAAACGTAAGTCGAACCTGTTCAAGCGGTATGTATATACATATATACATATATTGCGAGAACTCTTGCTAATCCGAGACGTAACGCTTTCATTTGACACACGTAATACGTGTATGGGAAAACGAACAAAAATCACTTTTACATACACATTTTTAACCTTGAGGAGTCTGCTTTATCGCGTTCAGATTGCAGTGCAAAACGAATGGCACGATATTTTAATCGTAAATATCTTTCGTTCGATGAAATTTATGATTAAACTAAATGTAATCACCTAATCCTTATAATATCACGATCTTGCTCTGATTTTAGCAATCAAAGAAGATTTATAACGTTTCGAGAAGACGATTGAAACGAGAAAACATGCGTTGCAAAATGGCCAAAAGAACGTAGCAGGGTTAAGCGTGATCTAACTTTGGTCATCCGTGAAACTGACATTCTGTGTAACAAAATAATTGGGAAATATGACATTTACATTATTATCGAATATACGCAGACGTCAAGAGCGTACGTCACTTATCTAACTACGATAAGCATGACCCAACCTACATATAATACTTTGCGCGAAAAAATACGTCAGGATGGCAATATCTGCAGCACTAGCGCTGAGACGCCTGGCGCCTAAGTATCGAGCGTCTGAACTGTTGTGTATGTATGCATAGTATACATGTATCGCGTCCATGGGTCTCATTCGTATCCTCAAAAACACGGGCAAGCAGCCAGATACGATCAT